AGCAACAATGGTAGCGATGCTTTGTCTTCCATCTTCGTTGAAGCCCTGCGAGGTTGCTTCAGGTTCTTTCTTTCTCATCATTCTTCTTCCTCTAATTCCAAAACCCCTCTTTACACAACAAAAAGTTGTCGAAAGCCCCTAAATCAGCTTCTGCTGTGAGGCCTTCAAGACCATCAAAATCCAAGGACAACCGATCCAAATTTAATGCTTTGGAAATCCCAGAGAAACCCACCTCACGAAATGAAAGTAAATCCAAGAATAATTCTTCTTGTTTGTACCAGTGGCAGTCTGGAAACAAGTTACTAGTTGCCGGCTTCACCCCACCTTCATATATACGGCTGCAGAAAATCCAAGTTTTGCAGAAAATCCATTAGGTTGAGTCGACGAAGTCAACGAAGAAATATAGGTAAATTTGTCATTTAATCATTCGTTCCATTTCGACCTGCGGGTACCAAACGCGAAATTGTCCCATTCCATCCTATGTTACCAAACGTAGCATGGAACTTATGTTTTATTCCGTCCTGTTCTGTCCCGTTCCGTCCTATATGCGTACCAAACGCTACCCAAACTAAGAGGTTGGGTTATGTACCATAGAACCTTGTTCCAAATCCTTCGGTTACAATATTCTAATTTGTTATATCTCGATACGGCATTGTAAAATGCAACAACCCCTATCACGAGTGTCCTTGATCACATAGGAAATCAATTCCCACATTGAAAATGTTTCATTATGCTAGAGCTAACACATCTTTTTTAAAATCTCAAACATTATTCATTTACTATAGCCAACATATTTTCAAAGGCCTAGTCATTCGTCTAATATCCTTAAGCTGAAATTAGCGCATCTTTTTGAAAATTCAACTTTAGGAAGCAAATTCGAACCTACTGAATCAGGCTTGAGAAGTGTCAAAAAATTGTATGCTCTGATATAGTGATTATAAAACAAAATAGTGTTATTCACACACTCATTTTTACCTTCCACATACCATTGTTAGTCATTGATCTTTTTTACTTCATTCAATTCGAAAGTCAAAAACTAAAAAATGTGTGTGAAAAGTAAAAATAGGTGTGTTAACACTACCCTAAGAAAACCCTAAACCCTTCAAGATAAATGTGTGCCTTGCTACTTGCTAATTGTTTTCATTGTTTTTAACTTTTTATCTCTCGCTGGATAGGTGATCATATGCCTTCAAATAAAAAATCAAATATTAGTTAGTTTTGCCGCTTAGGGTTTAGTGGTATTCTTCTTAACTTGCAATTGAAAAATCTTATGTTTGGTTCTTGTTAAAGAAAAATTTGAACTAAATTATAGCCAGGCCATTGTAAGACTTAGCCAACCCTACCCTTAGTGTGGATAATATCAGACGTATTCAAAAATATTTTATTATACATTAATATAATACATAATAACAAATATTTAGCTAGTTCTAAGCCACAATAAGCAAAGAAATTAGGGAAATAGACAAAAATGACCTTTTTCTTAATCTTATGACAAAAATTGGACAAACCGGCCATGCACAAAACTAAAATTACTAAAATACCCACATATAAATACTAAGAACCCTTAGCTCATTGCACTATTTTTGTTATTTGGAAGAAAGAGATGTCAGATAGCCACAGAGCTCTGGGTTTTTGGGTTAAGCTCAGATTTCGAAGAGAGAAAAGTCCAAAGATAGATGAGAAGAATGAGCTGGATTTTGGGTTGACCTTATACCTTTGATTTTGAACACAGGGATGCGAGAGGGAGGTGAGAATAGTGAGGTTAGGGTTTTTAGGGTTGAGCTCAGATCTATGAGTTATGTGTGTTATTCTTCCATAACCAAACACAACAAATTCTTCCATCCTTAAAGATAGGACATTTGCACCATATTTTATGTTTTGGCCGGAAAGTTTTATTTTTTTTCCGTAATTGAAGCTTTGGTAGGCATAGTAAGGTAAGGTGTTTAATTCCAAGTTTCAACATCAATGATTTATATAATAAATGAGTTGTTTGTAAGATGAATTAATACTTAGAAGTTAAATTAGGGTTTGTGTTTCATGTTGGGTCTATGGGTTGTGGAATAAACTTTACTTCTTGACGTGCTACAAAATTGTGATGGAACAATTTCTGGTTCAAGTGTCCAATTGCATAAATTTGTGAATTTTTTTTCGTAATGTGCATGGTGTGCATGTGGTGTGCATGACTACAACTTAATATGAGAAGTGAGAATGTTCACTAGTTATGCATGTATGTTGTGCCCCGGAATTTAGTGAGTATAATCACAACCTAGTTGGTCTCGACGAAAAACAAAATTAAGAAAAAGCTTAGAGCACGTTAAGGGTCATGCATGTCTATGAAATAACGACAACGAGTATCATGTTTTCCACAAGCACGGTTAGGCGGTGGTTGATATACGTAACAAGACATTACAAACTATCACTGTAACCTTATATACGTAACAATTATGTTTTAATTGTATCCACTATTGCAATAGGTTGCCGTTAAAGTTTCTTATTAATGCGAAAAGCAACTCGTTGCTCGATCTCCAGTTCTGTGCATATCATGTGCATGTACTGTACATGTAATGTACATGTGGTGTGCATATAATGTATATGGTGCGTATTTACATATTTGATACTCTTCATACTAACGTAGACATGGTAGGCGTTGAAGATAACAAGGATACATAGTCCTTATGTGATTTATTATCATATAATAGTTAGCAATATTCGAAGAGAGAGCTGTGAGCTCTGAGTTTTTTGGTTAAACTCAAATATGTGAGCATGTCATGTACATACAATGTATAAGTGCGTATTTTTTCTACCTTTTCCTTTGATTCAAAGGCAGACCCTGCAAATATGAAGAAGAGAACAAGTTCGCAAAATAATTCCCTTTGATTCAATTGGGTTCTTTCATGCCCATTCAAACTGCAATTTTCAAATCCTTGAAATATTTGAACCCAATCAAATTTGGTACCAAATTCAAATGAATGAATCTTTGATTCTTCATATAAGTTGAATCCCATAAATTAAATCAAGTTATGGATCGCTTTGGTGCCGCGGAGCTTGAATGCCACTCGATCGTAAGCCCTTGCTACCTCTTACCATGTCGAAGGTCCCCGGACACACCTAGGAGACTCTGTGTATCGGGTCCCGGATATCCGCTGCATATTTGTCCCACGGCCTTTGTTGGACTCCACGGTAGTGCTTATTCTCCTATTCGTTTGAAATCACTTTCTGAACTGCAATCGGCCTCACGATTGCCTGGTCCGAGCTCACAAACTGGATAAGGTTGGGGTGGCGGGTTTCAGATCTGTTTGCTTCAGAATTTGAGGCTTTTGCTCGAATTCAAAGTGCTCGATGCTAACTAGAGGCTTCGAATCAAAATCAAACGAATTTTGCAAACTCAAATTTGTGGATTTGGGAGTTATGAGGTCGATTATTTGGGTGGAGATAGAGCTCTTGGATGAAGAAGATGAGTGGGTTAGGGTTCTTTGAGCTGTAATTGGAATAGAGAGATTTTCTCTCTCCCTCTCCTCTCTGTTTATCTCTCTACAAAATGAGAAATAAAGGTTGGAATTTCTAGGTAACCCATTTATATGGAAGGGCAATTTGGTAATTTTAAGTTCTTAAGAAAATCTTATTTATATCCTATTGTTGTGTATGTCGTGTGTGCATATCTGAAAAAAAAATTCTATTTTAGTCCGAAGATTAAGAAAATTGATCATTTTTGTTTATTTCCCAAGAAATTATATCATATAATCGTCGTAGAATCCTATTTTTTCATCTCTATTCTCTCGTAAAGAAAAAGAAAATTGTAATGTTACTTCTATTAGAAATATGGTACAAATGATGGTACAAATTGTAATGCTATATCTAATAAAGATGTAACTCCCATGTTTTGTGTACTCATTATCTTTATTAGAGAGATGATACAATTAATGGTACAAATATATAATAAGAGTAGTATTTTTAGAAATATATATATATATATATATAATATATATATATATATGCATTTTGTCAAGTGAATGGCCTAAGATGGCCCTTTCCAAGGGAAAAGGATCCTCGTAGGATCATTTTCCTGAGGATTCTAGAGATTCTGTAATCGTGTTGATTTATTGTACATTGTATGATAAAAAATTATTTAAAATTTAAAATTCAAATATAAATATTATCTAATAAAAATTAACTGTATGATGTACAATAAATGAACACGATTACAAAATCCCTATAATCCTTAGCAAAATGATCCGCCGAGGATCCTTTGCCCTTTCCAAGAACCGTGAAAAATGTAAGGGAAGATTTCCGAGAAACACAATCCTTTTCTTTTTAGTGATTTTTCTTAAAGACTAGAGAGAGAAAGAGAGAGGTGACGTATCCAAGTATCTTATTGAATTTGTTGTGTTGGGCATCAGAAACGAGGGGGGATGGTATGGGATGGGATGGAGGGGTGAAAAGGGGATTTAATTGGGGGTGAGTGAGGACAGGGAGGAAGGCAAGAAAAAGAGTGAAGGGAGGCTTTCATCAGAACCGAGGGAGGGGAAAAAGGGGAAGAAGAAGAATAAGTATGATGACGATGATAGGGTTTGTTCGTTTGGTATCCATACATCCATCCTTGTAAATGTAAAATATGCCTCCTGTAGCCTCTCTCTACGAGTAGGATTGCAACTATCCGTCCAATCTCATCAAATATCTTCTCTGCTGTCTTTTCTTTTCATTTTCTTTTTTTAACCTAGCCTCCCCCACCAACCCCCCCCCTTCTTTCTCTCTCTCTCTCCTCTCTCTCCTCTCTCTCTGAAAGAGTACTGAAACCTAGCTCTCAATTAATTAATTACACCCACAACCCTCCATCCATTTATTGTGAGTACTTAACAAAATAAATAGAACCCATCTGTCCCCTCCTAACCCTAATTCCTCATCCACTCCATATATACATCTACGTTATAGCTGTCCATATCTTTCTGTGTTAGAAGAATCGTCTGCGTGGGTCTCTTTGCTAGTTCTGCAAACTTGGATGATCACGTGGGTTTTGCAAAGAGTTTCTTACAGAGTTCTTTGGCATTCTGTCCACCTCCCCCCTCTCTCTGTGTGTCTGTGGCTCAATGGATGGAGGTGGGCATACTGCCAACAGAGCTCTGTTGGCTTCTCTTTGTAAAACCCCCGTGACGACATAGATGTATCTTTACGCAGTACTTCATCTTCCTCGTGACAATAGGGTAAGAATTCTTCGTCTGCAACGGCCTCAGTTTCTGATGCTGCCGCTCATCCTGATCATTCTCCAGTTTATTAGATTTTTCTGTTTTTTACAGATCAGATGATTTTTTTTTTGGTTCCATAATTTATTGGTCTGTTAATTTGCTGGGTCCAACAATTATATTGCCAGTTGAGCACCTCTTAAACAGTGCAATCATCACCAGTGAACTCTTGCAATTTGTTTCTGTTTGATCAATTTCATCAACTCATTTTGGCTAATTTTCTTTTTAATAATTGATTAGTACCACGACTGCTGATGATTGGGAAGTAGCGCTAATGGAATCCTGGTTTCCATATGGTTTTTGCTTACTTATGTAGATATATTATATATATACCCAATTTCTGAAATCTTTAGTTTCTAACCTCATAACTAAGGGATTCGATTTTGCTCTCCAAATATTTGGTACTACTTGTAAAAAAAAAATAATTGTTTGCATGAACTGTTCAATTATTCTGATCTATCTATTGTTAGGGTTTTCTGGGTCTATTTTCTGTTTATTTTTGGGTTTTTTTACAAGGGAGCGCGACATAGAGGCCCAAACAAGAACCAACTTAATTAACCCAGCTAGGGTTAGCAACACCTAAGAGATCATATCGTAGGAGCTGCTAGCAACGAGGTGGAGGAGGGGGAGCCATATACACCTTATATATAAACCCAGATTTGCAGGAAGTAGCGAATGAAGCAGGAAGCTCTCTAAACACAGGTAGCATTTGACGAGGGAGATCAAAGACTCGAAACACAGTTAGTATTCGAGATGAACAAGAAATATTAGAACGTTGTCAGACCAAAAATGATGGCTAAGGTTTCCTCAAGTTTACCGATGGATCTTGAACTTTGACATTAATGTTGTTATCCTATCATCAGTGACTCCTGTTTTCTTTTCTTTTATTTTTTATTTTTTTCTGAATGTGTAATGATGCTGATTATAGTATTCGAGATGAACAAGAAATATTAGAACGCTGTCAGACCAAAAATGATGGCTAAGGCTTCCTCAAGTTTACCGATGGAGCTTGAACTTTTGACATTAATGTTGTTATCCTATCATCAGTGACTCCTGTTTTCTTTTCTTTTATTTTTTATTTTTTTCTGAATGTGTAATGATGCTGATTATATATGAGATTAATTAATACCAATACAAGGGGGTAATATATCACTGATTATGGCATGGCATGCATGCATGCCTGCCACCATTGTGTTTAGTGTCAGTAATTTGTGTTTTAATTATGGTTTTGTGGTGGACCAACGTCTTTTAATATCATGACTGATAAGGCCACGGCAGCCCTACCACTCACTTAAGTCAAGAGAAGGAAGAAGAATACGAATACCTTTCTATATAGTCCAAGTCTCTGCTATCTTCCACTCTTCTCACCCAAGGCCTGTACCTATTTTCCATAATACCTAAACAGCAACGTAGGATATGATCAAACCACTGACGATGCCAATAAATAACGCAGATCAGAAACATCACCCAACACCCTTCTTTGGATGGGACAAGGATTTTTCCCATCTCTCTCTTTCATCCTGCTTAAACGGTTAAGATTTTATTTTGTTTTTTGATCTTTGAAGAGAGGGAAGAAGAAATTTTGTTTTTTGATCTTTGTAGAGAGGGAAGAAAAAAAAAAACTGTGAGAGGAGAGGGGGGAGGGGAGGGGAGGGAAAAAGGGTGGGGCGAGAATAACACAACTGTGAGAGGAGAGGAGGGAAGGGAGGGAAAAAGGGGGGCGAGAATAACACAACTGTGAGAATAGGTGAGGGAGGGGAGAGAATAACACATTTCTATAACGGGGAATAAACGAGGGGGATGGACTACTTTCAACTAGTCAGAATCAAAAACGGCAAAGGAAAAGAATTGATGAACGCGAGCCTCCCTACATACCTAATTTATTTTGAATAAACGCCATGCAAAATTGAGTAATTAGTGTTTTGTGGAGTGGAGCGGGATCGCTTTCTGCTGTGTGGTGGGCCGGTGGCCACAATCGTTTGTTGGCTCTATATAATGCCCCTCATCGCTTTACCTGCGTACCACACTCACATGCGGGTTACATCACGAGCTCAGTCAATATTCCTTCATTTTATTCAAAGAGTAATCTTTCTTCCGTTGACCTTAACTCCAGGGTAACTGTTGCCTGTGGTAATTTTCTACCTTCTGCATACGTAGAAGAAAATGTGAAAAGAAAAGGAAAATAGCCATGTTTTGGCAGAGAATAAGAATGTGAACACTTTTCACTCACTCTGCAAGGCTGCAAGTGATGAAAAGGAAATCTGCAGATTCACTTCACACACACACACACACACATATATTATTCGTTTTCATGATTGATGAAAGCACGTTTAATCCCTGCATCTGTTCAAGGAAAGCACTGGAACGAGAACAACCAGCATCACTAACCATTGCCACAGTTAACAATAAAGTTTCGAAAAAGAAGAAAGGTTTTTAATTAATAAACTAAAACTCCTCATGAACCTGTATAAGTACTGCCCGCAGACAAATGACGTTGAAATCTATGCTTTTATTTTAGACGGGATGATCTCCCACATCTCTGTCAACCCATTAATCCTCAACTTGTTTAATTCAAACTCTAAACTTTGAATGCATGAATATTCTATCTTAACCACTCGTTGAGTAACAAAACCCCTTACAAATACTTAATTGAAATGTTCAAAATGTGTCATTCAATACAAACAAGTGAGTATTTAACCCAAAGAAAGTGATATATACACACACACACACATGTATGTACATAGATCACTTTAGCTCATCGTTGAAGAATCATTCAGTAATTGTATGCATGATTGTATGTATACGTAGACATCATTATATAAAACTAGAATGAAAATACAAATAATCAAGTTGGTAACACAATAAATTTAGCCTAATTTTAGCATGTTAGAAATTTGATACCAGTATTACAATTCGCCTATAGTATTTGGTCGTCGTGATTTATAATTGTGATATCAGTGTCTTGCATATTGATGCATACTTATTTATTATTATATTTGGTGGTGAATAATTGTATCATTGCATTATATATTTGTGTCCATATGGGCGGGGGGAAATCATATATCCTCTTACGGGACCAAAGCTTTCTCTTCTTTTTACTACAATCTTCGATGATTACTTTTAAGGCTCGTGCTATTCAGAGGTGATAATACAAGTCACCTGGAACACACACACACACCCCTTTTTCTTGTCTTTATGATAAAATTGACTTTGGTCAACTGGACATATCTCAAGTTGCTGTTTCTTTCGGTCCCCTCACCATCTCCAACCCTTTTTTTCTCTTCTACATTCCTACTGTTTTACTCTTCTTATCATTGTCGTTTGATGCGCAGGATTATATACAATTGCTATTTGAAGATCAATCAAATAATCTAACGTGGGAAAACTTGCACAAAATTGAGACGTCAAGATAGTTAGTGTAGTTTAAAACCAATTATACGACTACATGGAAAAATCAAAACATATAATGACGTGCAATTGGTTTCTAACACTATTATCTTAGCATTCCCATTTCATTTAAGTCTCCCTCGCAATGTGAGGGGTCAGACAGACTTTGCATAAAGGACCACTCAATATGACATTACTCAATAAAGCAACACATTATTTTAGGGCACTAGAAATGGTCTAATGATACAACATGAAGTCTCAGTTCCATACTTGTAAGTTACTACAACGATTCCTAGTGCAAAAACCTTCCGTACAATACAAACGTCAGCTCGTCCTTTTAGTGTCTCCGTTTCATGTAGGTCCTCCTTTATCAATGCATATGGGGTGGAGGATGAGACGTCGATTATCATCCTATTTGGTGTAAGTCTTATTGATATAAATACATATTAACAACCATAGTGCGTGGGCATAAATATATAAAAGCTATATCTATAATATTTCTAAGCTACTTGTTCCAAACAGCATATCTATGACCACAGGTTGCCAGTGTCCACTCCCTACCGGCCGGGCACCATGAACCATCCCCAATTTTCATGCACACTTTCTCCCCTATCATAGCAGAGTAGAGATTCGGTTGGGCCTCTAGGATCGTTATAGATGATCGGCTGTGAATGTCTTGACGCTTCCTGATGTCAATCTGCAGACAAGTGCCAATGCTAACAAATGAGAAACTTTTGTTCAAAAGACATCAAGTCGGAAAAGGGAACTGCCTATACTGCATACCAGTTTCACAATCTGATCATGAATGGAATCACCCCAATCGTAGAAATGATCGTAGAAAACTGTTGGTATTCCTGGGTGTGTGAGTATGTATGTGTAACCCTGCGGAAAGCATGGACTTGGAAGTTAGAGAACTTGCACTCCAATTTTTAGGTGGGTTTGAAGAATTATTCTCATATCAATTAGAATACAGCAGCTGCCAGCAGTAATAACATCAATGACAGGAGCTGGACTTTCCATCTAAATGCAAAGCATTTGAACTTAATAAACAAGTTTCCGTACCTCCATAATATGATTTGTAGGGAAGGGCCAATGAGCCTGCGAGACAAAATGATTATAATGTGAGTGGATTTCTTACTTTCACTATGGAACCAGCCAACCTCTGAAAAGATAGGTACCACAGTAACTTGTACGCAGAGAAAATGTAGTTGTATGCAGAGAGTATTAATCAGGGTTGTTTAGGCCCAAACTTGACTTGTTCAGCCCAAAAGATTGTAGCCTAAGCTCCCAATGATATTTACTCCAGCACAACAGAATAGTAACAGTACCTGGGTTGAGCCTGTATCATGGTTATCTAGGAAGGTGACAGATCGAGAAGGCCACCATCCAACTACACCTGGTGGCTTCCCTTGGGGGTCACGCAGGCGCCACAATTGTCCTTTAACCGCTTCCTGCATAGAATGCATGTATAAATGTCCAAAGTCTAAGCAAGAAAATAGGAGGGGTAGGTGGCAACCAGAAGAAAAAGGAAAGGAAATGGTACTCATTGATTAATAAATATTTTGATGAGTACGGACGTTATTACAATCTGGAAAAAAAAGGTGGCATGTACAACGGATACAGCAGACTGGACGTATTTGTGAGGAGAACTAGCATTCATAGACGAAGAGATACTTTGGTGAAGATTGCTACATGATTTCTTTTCTTATATATAATAAAAAGGTTAACCACTCAATTGATCTAATGACCGGGACTCATTATTATTGTAGATGTCCATCTTAGTGGACTGTTGTGTATGTGTGTGCGAAGGGTTGGGCTGCGGTTGGATATGCCAATCTGTTTGCAAATGGAATTTACCTGAAGAATTCCCTTGGTTGTAAAGTCAAACGCAGTTGATAGCTGTCCTGTGCCATTGATCCAATTTACTATCCGCTGTCTGTGGCTATCTGCGTAACATTATCAATCATCATAAAGATCAAGCAGTCAACTCAATGCTAAATCCTCAGTAGAAATAGATTTGATCCCTGTACCCAATTAAGACAGCAAATTACAATACACATCAAATGAAAGGGCAAAAAGGAATGCTATCAACGGGGCTAAGCTACCCTTTATACGGTAGTATGCAGTGTTAAACTTGTTAATTTCTTATAGGCTAATATAGTCCAATACCCTGCACATCTCAAAACCATATAATCCAATACCTTGGTTGTAATCCAGGCCATGACCGTTGTAGTTGCAAGAATCCCAATACTCCCCAACAGAAAAAATTGGTTTTGCTCCTTCAATGTATTCTTTCACATATTTTGCCGAATAACTATTGTAACATTGAAAACACGTAAAGGCCAAATGAAATCAAAGACATGGAAAAACGCACGCGGTGAATAAACCCAGTTAAAAACGAAACTCAATTTTATGCAAGTATAAGTCTTACCCCCTTGCAAAATCAAATCGGAAATCCTGAAAACCAACATTATTACGTAGCCACTGCATCCATCCTGTAATATCTTTTCGAACAAAAAGTTGGCTATGATCAATATTCGGAACCCCATGGAAATTGTCCCCAGTGCTTGGATTACCCTGATATATAAAATACAGAGAAATTCAGTGAGCTCAACAGACATTGCATCATGAATCATGCAGAGTCATTCAAGCAGTGACAGATTTCATTACCAGTCCACCGGTACAAGATGTGACAGCACGTTCATCCCATGACAACGAAATTCCATCATAGCGGTTGTACTTTCCACCATGCCCTCTAGTAGTCCCAACACGATGATTGATAACTATGTCAGCCATTGCTCTAACTTTATGTTGCTTCATTTTATGAAGTAAAGATTTTAATAAGTTCTCAGATCCATATTTAGAATTGAGAGAATATATGTCCTGCGGAAGGTAACCTATAATAAGAGAAAAAGAAAACAAACATGGTGATCCAATCATTTATATGCAGAGAGAATAAGAAAACAGCCTAGAAATTTTGTGCATCCAACCTTCCGGTGCAAAGGAATGAGTTGCAGGCGGCAACCATGCTGACGTAAAACCAGATCTTCCTATATCCGGAACTTTAGTTTCTAAATTTCTCCACCAATCATGTTTATGAGACTCCCAATTGAAGGCCTGTAGATATAGTTCGGTCAAATGAGAGCTATCATAGCTTTAATGCAACCAAAACAATTTACCATCATTACAATATCAAGTTAAAAAAAACGTTTGCATCATACAGCAGCGACCATTTTACTTCTCCAACAATCCAGAAGACCGCAGTTTAATCACTTCAAATAACAGGATTACCATATTCCATAAGGACTATATATTTTATGTATAAAATGGCTCCAACAAGATGTTGAACATATCTTAATATTATGTGGAAAGTGTAAAATTTACCTGCAAAAGGATTTCTCTTCCATTGCGCACCGCTGCACCTGCATATGAATTCAAAAGCATTCTTTAGTGTCAAGAAAAGGAGGATATACAAAATGTTCTCCACGAACCAAACTTTCAAACGCCAGCAAAGTATCACATTAGTATGAACACAAGATAAACCAGAGAGCCTAATCTATGCTTATTCAACAGGTACAGTTAAATTCTCAATGTTCATGATTGAAATTTCCAAATTCACAAGACAAAGTAAGATCTGCGTTTTCATGCGGCCTATTTGAATCCCTTATCCCCTTTAATCAAAGAGAAAATTAATGGAAAGCATCGGCGGGCGAAAGCAAAAGCATACCAATATCAGTCTGCTGCGCGTTTTCTCGTGAATCCTGCATTTCATCAAAATGGAAAGTTAGAGAAAAGAAGTCCTCCAATCTTGCGAGTGCGAGTGTGTGTGTGTGTGAATGAGTGAGAGATTGAGAAGGCATGCATACATTACTTCCGTAACCCATTTGACTCAGGATGTAGTTTCCCAACTCGGCCCCGGATTGCAGGTAAGGCACGGGCAGTTATCCTACATGGATGAACGACATGGGTGCACCAAAACACTGGCAATATGACACAAAATGGAGGAGAAGACAATGAAATCTTGGTGATGATAAACGTTCATCTGTTTCGTCTCATATTCCGCAAGAAAAAAGTCGTACAGGTTAAAATTAACGAAATCAAACACGAATGCAAGCAAAAGTACATGAATAAGTGCAGGGCTTCAGAAGCAATCGGAATTACAACTGCAAAATTCGCATGGGAGAAAATAGATACGTACCGAAGGCTCTATGGCTGGCTGCGAATGCGATTGCGGTTGTGGGTTTGGGGTTGCGCCGTTGGGCAGCATAAATAGGACAGAAAAAGCTGAAAATTCGAGGGAGACCACCGAATTCGAATCACGCGGAAGCACGATACAAGTTGAAGTTGAAAAGGTGACGAGAGAATATAGATATTCTGCTGTAAAAGGAAGAAAAAGGATTCGATATCGAAAGGCGATGGCAGAAGGGAGTTGGAATTTGGAAAGGTGGAAAACCAGAGAGATGGAAATGGAGGGAAGGTGCGTTGTGAATGGCGGGATCGGATGTTTGGCTTTTGTGCTGTTGGGCAATTGTTGTGCTGTTGCAATTGGGCACGTTAAGAAAATGATGAGTTGGACTTGGACGGTGATAAATCATTCACGATTTCGTCATTCCTGTACTCTGCCGGGTTAAGAAATTGACGTGCTGCAACATGAACCGTTGAAACGAGGTACGGGTATATTATTCAAATAATATATTATGCCAATGACTCTTACGAGATGTAGAGATTTGTCGATAGTTGTTATCGGAAACAGTAGAGTAATAGTGACGAGGTTTGTCAACTGAAGCATTTCATTGAGATTTGGTGGTACAATAGATTGCATACAAGAAGAGAGAAAATGAGAACAAGAATGATAGAAAAAAATAGAAGAAGAAATAGGAAAAAAATGTTATAATTTAGTTTGCCTTGACGGTTTATACAGTTAAATAAATACACATAAAAATATACATGACGTTTTTGAAATTGTCGGCAGCCAATTACCCCGCTAATGTTTGACTTTGTGACCATACACACTTTCTTATCATGGTGGGTTATCTTCATAAGCGGGAAAATACATAGAAGAGGGGGATGACTTTACATATTCTGTGTTAATCCCTTTATTTTCTATTTACATTTTTTGTGTAAATATAAAAGGAACTTTCATGAAAAGGGTTTGGATTAAGTTTATTTTAATAAAAATCATGCTATAATTTTATTTAATAAAAAAGACTTAAATTTTAATGAAAAATCCTTAAATTTTAATAAAAAGACAAAAAAACCTAAATTTTAATGAAAATGACATAATTTTAATATTTTAAAAAAAATTTAAAAAAAACTGACGCGCAGACCCACGCGTCCTCACACTATTTATGAAACTTATATAATGTTTATGAAACTTACTGCACTATTTATGAAAATTTATGACACTATTTATGAAAACTTAATACACTGTTTATGAAACTTAATACACTGTTTATAAAATTTAACGGCACTACATTATTCTCTCCTCTCTCGAACTCAATCTCTCTAGCACCTAGAGAAGAAAGCTCTCTCTCCCACTTACCTTCACAAATCAACCCCAAACTTAGTATATTTGAAGTCTCTGGGATGCAAAGATCACAATGGTGGTCTTACATGTGGGATCGGTGCAATGTGGACGTCGGCACCATTAATGCCCAAGAGCTTGAAGGTCTCAAACTCAAACCCAAGTGACGGCTCTACCTACTTTTGAATTTATGGGTTTTAATCTCACTATGTTGCACTATGTGATGCTAATTTTACGTTGAAACTCAAGGGTTTCAACCTTTGCAACTTTTGCGCATACGAACCCCAGCCCTGACAACAAATTCCAGCAAATGCCGTCAAGTTTGAAGTCGGCTGGTGTTGGTAATGCATCCATTCTCTCTCTCTCTCTCTCTCTCTCTCTCTCTCTCTCTCTCTCTTGTTTCTGCGATGTTTGGATGAAGGATTTGTGGTATCAATTTATATGGGGGGATACGCGCAACTCGTTATATCACGAACTTTGAATGCTTACGTAGACTTCAAGCCTCAACTTATGAGTGGAGCAAAACCTACCAATCCCATAAAGTATGAATCATGACTAATGTACAATATACATATCAACATATGAATCTTAAAGAGCCCAGCGCAAGTTGGGTTCTTTATGGATTTTTGATAATTTTATTCTTTTGTCCTTATCATTAAATAAAGTTAGTGGATGATTTTTTATTAAAATGTAAATATTTGAAGACCTTTTCATTAGTTTTCATAAATATAAACTTATATAAAATGAAAGAAGATGGAGATAAATAAGGAAAACAAAAAATGCACCTTTGGATCCTGAACTTACAGTCCATTGACATCGGTACTTGAATTTGGCAAAATGAGAAACATTGGTCCTTCACTCCAACTTGTGAGAATTTTCGTCAGCACGTGAGCCCTTGAACATTATGGGCCTTGGCTTAACGGCCCAGTTTCATTTCCAAATTCCAAATCGAGCGACCTTCCCAATGGTCCAATGTCAACTCAAAGAGTGGTGGAATTATTTATTTATTTATTATTTATGTAAAGTTGAATTGAATTGAATTGAGCGAATATTGTTAAAGTGAGAAGGAAAGCCAAACCTCTGTGGCGGGGGGCGGTGGGGTCCTTCGTGTCTACCCGCGAGAATGGAGGTGGATTGGACCCAACTACCACCGGAGCTCGCCGAATCAATCTCCAAAAAGCTCACAATCTACGCCGACTACCTCCGATTCCGGGTGGTGTGTCACAGCTGGCGAGCCTCCGTCCCCAAAACCCCGCACCACCTCCCTCCCCAGCTCCCCTGGCTGATGCTCCCCCAATCCCAGCCCAACCAATCCCACCGCGCCTTCTTCAACCTCTCTAACAGCAGAGTCCACTTCCTCCACCTTCCAGAAGCTTCTCACCGTAAGCGCCGCTGCGGCTCCTCCCACGGATGGCTCGTCATCCTCGACGAAACCCCTTCCGTCCTCCTCGTTAACCCCCTCACGCGCGCCAAGCGCCACCTCCCTCCGCTCTCCACCTTCCCCAACGTTGTTCGATTTGATTACTCCGATGTTGGCCGAGAATACGCCCTCGTATCCCCGTCTGGTGACGTCTACACGCGCAGCCTGACCCAAATGCGCGATTCGTTTCTGAAAAAGGTCGTCCTTTCTTCGAGTCCTCTGGAAGCCAGGGGCTTCACCTTCACCGCCGTAGCGATTGTCAATCAAACCGGCGACTTGGCGTTTTGCAGGGACGGAGACCAGACCTGGACTTTTATCGACGGCGCACAGTCGTATTCCGAGGATGTCGTATCTGCCGACGGTTTGTTTTACGCCGTCGACAAGAAGGGCACCGTGGCGGAGTGCGATGTTAATGGTCCGTCTCCGCCTAGGGTCAGGTTAATCCGAACGCCGAGACTAGAGGATGCCGACATGCGATATTTGGTGAGTTCAGGGGATGATTTGTTGTTGGTGAGTCGGTATTTGGAGATTGATTATGGTTTTCTGGTGGACAATGCAAATGTGAATTACAGGACAGCGAAATTTGATGTTTTCAGGATGAATTGGTTGGGGGAGAGGTGGGACAAGGTTGAGAACTTGGGTGATAGGATGGTGTTTATCGGCGAAAACTCATCGTTTTCATTGTCGGCGTCTGATTTTCCGGGAAGTCTTGGAAACTGCGTTTATTTCACAGACGATTATTCGGAATCAAACAATGAGAGCGGAGTCTGGGGATATGATTCGGGCATTTTCAAATTGTGGGATGGAACAATTCAAGAGTTGCCCCCTTATCCAAGGAATTCAAATTATGAGGTGCATTGGCCTGCCGGCTCTCTGCCTCTTTGGGTCACTCCAAATCCATGCTGATGCAGTGAAGGCAGGATCATCATTTCAATTGAATGGTAAGTAATCGCAATTATCCGGTGTTAATTGTAATGTTAAACAATGGTTTGTATATAATTATTTCTATGTTTTCCGTTTCGTGCATTTGTTTATACATTCTATGTAATAATTGACACTCTGCAGTAATCCATATATATATCAATGTTTAATAACACAGATACTGCCCTTTTGTATCAATCTCTCTAGTATCTTGGTGTGCAAGGGAGGTGAGTTATGGTGTTGGATGGTTTAGGTGATAGGGTGATGAGATTGGTTAACGTTGGCCCGAGTGGTGTTTAGATGATTTAAACAAAATGTGCCATCGGAGAAACTCTCATACGTCACCGGATGTGTATCTTTGTGTCGCGCTAACGCTAAGAGCGTTGTGTGCAGAGGGGATATGATCCGGTTACACGGCAGATTCTCCTCGTCTCAGATGGACTGATGTACAATTTGTCAATTGCAGATGAAACATTGTGGTGGTGATTTGTTTTCGTTTTGTAGAAACAGGGATTCTCAAATTTTGCTGAAATTATTTGGCAATTGGTCTATGAATTAATGGTGATTTTTTGCTCTTGTCCTTAGCTATTGCAAGTGGCCTTTCGGGGCCGGTCTTTTTAGTAACGAAGACAAAACCTTTTAAACTTATGAGTAAGTTGTAATAATGGTCACTCAACTTTAATCAATTTGGAGCAATGGTCTCTCAATTAAAAATCCATTACCATGATCCCTCAACTCATCAAAGTGTTTAGTTATGGTCATTTTCGTCAACTTTATCCGAATTTTGTCAAAATGAGTTATGTTGGAAGGACCATTGCTACAATTGGAGTCCCTCAACTCATCAAAACGTGTAGCTATGGTCATTCTCGTTAATTTCGTCAGAATTTTGTCAAAATGAGTTATGTTGAAAGGATCATTGCTATAATTGAGTTAAAGTTGAGGGACCATTACTCAAATTGTGTTAAAATTGAGGAACCATTACTCTAATTTGGTTAAAGTTGAGGGACCATTTCTCTAGTTGAATTAAAGTTGAGGGACCAATGGTAATATATTTTTTATTGAGGAACTATAGTTGCACGTTTTGATGAGTTGAGGGATAAATGGTAATGAATTTGTAATTGATGGATCATTACTCAAATTGAGTTAAAATTAAGAAACCATCGATATATAGGGAGGGTACAATTTCGATTCTCTTTGACAGAAATACTTACAACTTCGTTTGGTTTCGTTGAATCGTTTCCTGGATACGCACCTGCATCTGAAGGGCTTGGAACAAAATTGTAGTAAAAATATTTCTAACAAAAACGCATCGGTGCACAAGTGTTTCTTACAACTGAGAACTATGCCTACCTATCAAATTTTCGACTGAGATTCATGCTGCGTATGGCCAAACTGGAGAGCCTAATGCCATTTCTGATATGTTTGTAAACGGCCCAGACATTCTTTACTGAGGAACCTGTAAGATTAAACTTATAAAAAATATAAGTTAAGAGATTAAGCTCATGAACCACAAATTTATTTAAGTATTAAAATCACAATTCGATAAACACAATGACAAACTAACCCGTAAACGTAGTAGAAGAAGAAGCTAAAGCAGACTTCTAAACAGTGCACCTTCTCCTCTCTTGCAAAACCAAAAGTACTCAAACTAACAATATGTCTTAGTTCAATATTGAGAGTATGTTTTGTAAGAGCAGTGACCGCTATTTATAATAGAGTAATCCTAATAATTCTCCTATTAGAAACACCATAGGATACCAACTATGAATCCAAATCATATTAGTTTTAAGCTTTATAGCAAGACTTTTCTATGTCAATTGAAACACTACAACCAGCTATAATATTCAGTTTCTTACTCATATTCTAACAGAACCAAGTACGAAACAGAAATCAAACCGATTCTTTTCGGACTTGAAATTTTTGTACAATTTGAAGTTACTAGGAACAACCTAAAACAAACTGATATCCTCCAACTTAGGTGCAGCCTAGCTAGGCAATACAACGCATGGAGTACATGGAAACGGCAGGCCAATCCAGCATAGACGACGTCGTAGAAGACGCAAAAGAGGAAGCTTCGTAGACTCTGGGGTGATCACTCTCTAATCCATAGTCCATGATCGGACGGTACTCCAGCTCCTCATCATAATCGTGCACAAACTCCGGAACCTCCACCTCATTCCTCCGCACCTGGTTCCATAGAAACTCCAGCCGTTGCACATATTTTAGCTTCTTGTACAACCTGCAGGTCCACCAATAAACATCACCATTACCATTCACTAACGTGCGTCATGGGTCAACGTTTGCTAAAACTGTTAGTTAATATTTGATTGTGTTAATTACCATCTTAATTAAATGTGCATCGATGTTTGTTAATTAGTGTTACGTAACGTACCCTCCGGTGAAAAGGAGACGACCAAAGGTGGCGAGGAAGAGCTTGGCCTGCAATCCCGGGTGGAGAAAGTAAACAGCTTGAAGCCGATCCTTGACGGCGGTCGGAATTGCCTCGTAGATGGATCGGAGGGTTGAAATTCCGGGAAAGTTGTCACCGCGATTCACATCTGTGTGCACGTACACCACCGAGAAGAAAGCCGTTTCCCCTAACTTTGGGAATATTTTCTCCTCCAAGTACTTGTTCACAGCCTCGTTCGTCACGCTTCGAGCTGATCATGAACATTTAACATAACCAAAATAAATTCAGCGTAACCAAGTAATAACGTCTTAATTAAGCAACAAATATTTTATCATGAGTATGGTAGCGTCAAACTTGTAACTAAGGAGCGCGCTAAAATAAAAAGGCATTTGGATTCTATCGAATAATTACCTGGAAAGAACTTTCCGACGATGCGAAGAACGTTTCGACCATGTTTGTCCCGGCCTTGGATGTTAAACACTTGAAGTTTCTCAAGGAGGTGTTGCTGGTCTGACAGAGAGAGTGTTGGTATAGAAGGGGAAGAAAAATAATTCATTTTTTATAAATTTTTAACTCTCTCGATTGACTATAGAGAGTGTAGTTGTATTTATTAATTATATAGTGGAATTTGCGAAAATTAAGCAGAATATGTTCTGGAAACGGAAATCCGAAAGTGTGAAAAAGTAAGAGGGGATGGATAGGGTCGCTTTTGCTTTGAGTTTTGAGAGGGATAACGATGATAAAGCGTTGCTGCAAAGTGCAAAGTGCAAAGTAGCGTTTCTGTTTCTCTTGATTATATAGCGAGGCGGGGCGACCGATTTCTGGATTAGAGTATGTAAAATGTGAGAGAATTTTTGCCGAGAATATGATTTGGTACACGAAATGTATTATAATTGGTTAGACTCTTGATAAAAAAAAAAACATTGATAAAAAAATTTCAACCAATTGTATTATGACACTTGATGTACGGCAAGCTGAAAATTTTCTTGTATAATCTTTTTGTTATTATAAAGGATCAGCTGGTGACTTCGTCATAACAGTTCATATTTCAGAAGTCAGGACAATACATAAATGTATTTTAACATTCTCCTAACCACTATCTTGTGATTTTTCAACGTCAGGAATTGAATCAAACGCCGGATAATGAAGCTCAAACAAAAGAGTGTGATGGAAGATGATGATGAGCGAGCGCATTGAGGAGGGTATATTCTTAAGAATCTTCCGAATGGTCTACCTCGGTGCGGTTAGTTTGCCAAGTTTGCAAAGTGCCTATGGATTCAATGGATTGTTGATAACTGTTTGATATAATTAAGGCAATATTTTCATCATTATTCGTAGCAGCAAAAATGTGGTTGGGATTGTGACATAGAAACATCTACCTGTAAATGGTCTACGTCCATAGTAATATTTAAGATATGGTAAGAACAAATTACAATTTAATTACCTTATGTACTTATCCACGTAGAAATATCGAAATTCGTGAAATTTACACATCCAAAGCAAATTAACATTCAATCTTGCAATAGAATTAAGGAAACAAATCCCTAAATAAGGGTTGTTAACCCAACTAGACCATAGTATTCAAATCAATATTAGTTGATATATATGTTCATATAAAATAAGTGTGTATGATTGAGATAACGAAATAAATAAGGTGAACCATATTGTTTTTGGCAATGAATGAGACCCACTAGGACCACTACTACTACCCGTCCAATCTCGATGGAAACTTTGCAAACCTTTCCTCTTCATAATTCTCCAAACTACGTACGTAGGCCAAAAGACCAATTAACTAATGCTACTTTTATCAAATATAATTAAGCTAAAATCGTGGTATAATCATTGATCAACATGTTATAATCTAATATGCGAAATGCAAAGGAGACTCTCAAAAGTGAGATTTTTTATGGATTTTCTGCCACCTCATATTGTTTGCACAACGTTTTATAATGTTAATACAAAAATTAACGTTAAATTGTTAAATTATGAGATGACAAAAAGTTCATGAAGAGTTCCATTTCAAAAGATTCCCCTAATCATTTTTCATCTAATATAACAAGGTGTATCATGCATAGTTTGAAAGGTCCACCGCAACTTCTTCGCAATGTGGCCGGCGCCCGACCTCCCCTTAAACAAAACAAAAGAAAGGTGTGTTCCGACAATCGAACAATGAATAATTGCTTCAAGAGGTTGAAGAAGTTGAAAACATAAGAAAAAGAAGAAGGATAGATAGGGGCATTCCGAGAATCGGACTCGGGACCTCTCGCACCCAAAGCGAGAATCATACCACTAGACCAAATGCCCTCGTGGACACTTTTTGAACTTTTGAAATTTAATAGTCAGGTATAACTTGGGGGAACAAAACAAAACATGCTGCGTTAATGAGTGAGAAGTTGGAGCTGCTTCCCAAAATGTTTTGAGGCCTTTCAAGTCTGGATATTAGGCAAGGCATGGATTACATTGGAATAGCACTAACCTGGGAAAATTAAACCCAACTTTATGTTTTGGGCCATCCATGTCGGCTCAGTTTTAAGCCCATAAAGGGCAGAGAAATAAAACATTACACCCATCCCCTAACATAATTTTAGGGGTGAAAAAAATAAAAAGGAAAACTAATGAAAAGAGTTTGAAAACTTTGAGTTTTAACGATAAAGATAAAATAAAGGGTAAATAAATAGTACCATGATTGACTTTTTAGTGTAAAAATATGGTTTTTCGTTAAAGTGAACATTACCGGGAGCTTTTCATTAAAGTTTCCAAAAAAAAAAAAACCGAGTTGTCTCCATAAAGGGCAGAGAAATAAGGATAAGGATTGTCTGCCCTCTTATTTTGGGTGGTCACGGTTAAACCATATTAACATTTTATATTATTTTTTTATAGAGATAATAAGACAAAAATGAATAGTAATATAAAATGTTGATGTGATTTAACCGTAACCACATAAAACAGCAGGGAACAGGAGGGCACCGGAAGTAGGAGGACAGACAATCCTTGTCGAGAAATAAAACAGTACACCCATCCCAAATTCGCTTTAAACAAAGTTGACTAACTGCGGGAAGTCAACTACTATTCTAAATATAATAAGGCAGTGAACTATTGTTCATCAGGAGAACTTTGGTAAGACAATATTTACGATAGCTCTAGTTATACTCCTACAGAATTATTAATGCCATGCAAAATCTTATGATAATTGATAAATAGTTGAGGGATAAACATGAGACCGGGCATAAATGGTGAAAAGGATTTTCGTGCACGGCAATCTTAAACCACCCGGCAGCTAGCTGCAGTGATGGAGAGAAATCACCAAACACATACTATATGGTATTTACCAAATCCGGGCCCCCAAATAGCGCAAGGACCGGAGTCAAATAGTCAAACTTAATCAACGGTGCAGGTAGCGTGCAGGTAGCGTGCATGGATAAGCTTTTGATGGGGTTGAATGCACTGGAAACAACCAGAGAAGGTGGTCACTGCCACTGGTCAGTATCTTCCAGCGGATGTACGCCAAGATTTTGTTTCAGTCAACAGTTTCATAGGCACTAGATCAACGGCTAAGGATCTTCAAAGATATGTTGTTTCATGGAACGTCTTCTCCAGCATTTCCTGGAACACGATCAGTATTGGACTGAACACGCATTAATGAGAATTTTGCAACTTTTGAGCTGGTCGTGGTGTTCGGATGAAAGTTTACTGGATTTTTTATTATTATTTTCCCTTGCAGAATAATATAACTTAACAGAAGTTAACCACCGTTAAAACGAAAGACGCGTGTGAGATAAATAGGGAAGAGACATGAAAGGAGACTGCACGTCAAACCTCATCTCTCGGACTTCGCACAAAGACAAGAGAGAGAAGTGAGGTTTCTCGTTTCTCCTCTCTCTCAGTCCTCAGAGAGATATTACACAGAGCTAGCTAGTTACGTACAAATGGATGTCAGTCTTTGAACAACTCAAACATTACACGGAGGAGAGAGAGAGAGAGTAGAGAGAGCACAATTAATTAATTAGCTTAAGAGGAGGCTTCGAAATGACAGAAAAAATCAATTCGGCACAGGCGTTACATACATCTCACGCGTCCCAATTTCCTTTTTAAGCTTTGGTCAGAGTATTTACTGTATAGCTTAGTTACGCGTTAAGCTTATCCTGGAAATCATCGCTTTCTTTGCTCTTTGTACACTCTTTACTCTTTTACTTAAAACTGTTGTATTTCTCATTAGTGTATTCTTTATTCTCACCCTTGTTGGTGGCTTTCCGGCGAGGGTGTGGCGGAGAAGAAGAGAGGGGGAGGAGATGTCGCCGGTGGTGAGGAGAGAGCAGGTTCTGCAGGGTGTGCATTATCCAGCACCACTTGCCACTCACGAGGAGGTTGTGAAGGACGCTGTTGTTTTCTGGGACACTCTCCGGCGCTTCCATTTCAAGATCAACACCACCAAGTTTATGTAACCCTACTCTTCTTCTCCTTCTCCTCTTATTTTTCTTTATTTTGTATGATCACAAAATTAAATTTATTCACTTTAAAGGTCAGGAATTTTATTATCTATTTTTTCTTCAAGGGTTCCTGTGATTGGAGGGAAGGAGCTAGATTTGCACGTGTTATATTTAGAGGTAACAAGGAGGGGTGGCTTTGAGAAGGTTTGGCTATCTATTTATCTATATTTCTTCATTTAACTAAATTAAATTATTATTATTAACATTTTCATTTTTTAGTTAAGGGATAAAAGAAAAACTAGAAAATCATATGTATTAAATTATATATGCAGGTAGTTGCAGAGAAGAAATGGAGGGAAGTGGTAGGTGTTTTCATGTTCTCCCCAACAACAACAAGCGCTTCGTTTGTGTTGAGGAAACACTACTCAACCCTTCTTTACCATTACGAACAGGTTCACTTTTTTAGGACACAGGGTCCTTTATCTACCCCCACACCCTCACCCTCATCCTCAGGTATTCATTTAATTCTTACCCTCTTTTTTTTTACCGATGCAATTGGCTTTTGCTTTCTGTATCTTGACTGCGGATATCATATGACCTTTTTGCTCATAAGTGCTTCCTTTTCCGGTATCTTTTTGCGTTGCCGGCTTTTGCTTTTATATTTTCGGAGGTTCAAGTAAATAATAGTTTAGTTTCCGTGTCTCTTTGTTTCTGCATTTTCCATTAGTAACCGTTGTGAGTGCGCAGAGAAACCAGGACCGGCGCTGGTGGAATATTCTCCCAAAGGTAAAGGTGCCAAAGGAACCAAACCCGTAAATGATTGTCCGGTTTCGGTCACTGATGAAGGTATATATTATAGGGCTCATTTTTCTCGATACACAGATCATATTGGATAAGGTGATTTCAATCGCACAACCACTCACCACAAATGTTTGATATGGTTTTTCTGGCAACCCCCCCACCCCCCAACAAACACACACGAAAACAACAACAAAAACATTTTTGTATTTCTTTTAAATATTGTAGTGTTTTAAAGGAATAGTGATAAGCTTTATCATGTTATGCTGAATTAAGACATAGACACAACTTAATTCTTTACTTGTAAGGAGTCATTTCTCTTTTAATACTAATGTGACATTATTAATTGTACAAACGTCGTAATTTGACTCTTTATTATCAACTAAAAAAATCATTCAACTTAAAAGAGGGTTTAACCATCCGTATAATAAACAAATTGAAATTTTTATCAAGAGGATGCTACCATAATTATCAATTTGTTCACATATATGGATGATTAAAAAATTTAGAAATTGAATGAAGTTTTTTAGAGACAATCACAATCTTATGATAAAAATCTCCAAATTTGGGTGATGAACGTTTATTTTACTTATTACATATTTTTTAATTTTTGATCGTCGGATCAAATAAATTGAAGAAAATCAATTGCAAAAAATTAATAAAGAGTTTCTGAAAGGTAAAAATAGATTTGTGAATAGCCTGAATAGCACTTTCCTAAACTTCTAACTTTTTTGACATGGATATATACTTAAACTTCCAACTTTTATGACATAGATATATATCGTATGTCCCAGCATGCATTGATGGGTCGATCTCACCCCCACACACGACAGATATGGGACCATTTTAATCCAATATTTTTAACGAATGATTATGTTTCCTCGTATCATCCACGAATGAGGTTTTTGTTTGGAGCATGGAATGCAACTAAGATCTAGATCAGTGATCAATCAAATTTCAACTTAATCAAGGTTAATTAGAATAAAAACATCATGACGATGATGTCTATTTTTTTCTTCTCTTTTTTCAGGTACTGGAACAATTGATGGGAAATTCAATTGCGGCTATCTTGTAACGGTGAAGTTGGGTTCGGAGATTCTCAGTGGAGTACTCTACCACTCTAACCAGCAGACTCTAGCCGGTCCTCCTAATCCAACTCCATCCCCCGAACCTGTCAATGCCATTGTACCCTACACGTCCACAAGATCTGGTCGTGTTGCAGGTTCGAGGAGGAGGAGATCAAGGAGGAGGACAGACCCCAACCACCCAAAACCCAACCGGAGCGGCTACAATTTCTTCTTTGCAGAAACGCATTTCAAGCTCAAGTCCCTTTACCCAAACAGAGAGAGGGAGTTTACCAAGATGATTGGCGAGTCTTGGAACAAACTCCCTGCAGAAGAGAGGCTGGTAACCGCGAATAGATAACATATATACTTCTTAGCAGGGATCTCGTTCTATTATATAAAGGGACGGTAGGGCCCATAGGAACCATGTATTCACCATAAGGATTCTAGACGGTAAATACATGGTTCCTATGGGCCCTATCGTCCATAAGCCGCAGGCTTATCCTTAATTATGCCTTGCTAGAGTAAAACGGGATCCCCACTTAGCTGCTCCTACGTATATATAGTTGCTTAATTACCTTCTTTCATATTTATATTTATCACATTCTTTTGTCAATTTTTTTATTATTAGGTTTACCAGAATATTGGGCTGCAAGACAAAGCAAGATACAAGAGAGAGTTGAAAGAGTACAAGGAAAGTTTGCGGCTCAAGATTCAGACAGGCCATGGAAACTAAGTCGATTCCAGCTCGAGTGAGCTTTTCGGATGCGTGTAGAGAGTTTTATGTGGTAGTTTATGGTTTTCAAACAGAAAGTTTATGCAAACCATTTTGCTCTGAGACATGATCAAAATCACAATCTTTAGTTTCAAACTTTCAATGCAAGATGCACTTAGGAACTCCTTCCCCGCTTCGATCTTTTTATCGTATTTTATTAGTTAGAGGGTGATTTTTAGTTTTTGGTAAAATGAGGCTCCATGAATATCTCATCTTATTGCAAAACAGAACGTTGTATATTTACAGCAATGAAAAACCATAAGCTGCGCATCATTGTGGTGCAAGAAAGATTAAGCAAAGGAAAAAGCAGATAAACCGTGCAAATACTATGAAGCATCAAGAAAGCTTGCTGAGGCCGTGAAAGAAGCGGTGTCTCCTCCTCTTCGAATGCTTACGAGAATCCTTGAGAGCAATATGAGGAACAAAATGCACCTGAGGACATGGATAGCTGTAAATAAGTTGACAGAACTGACGGAAAAGACCAACGATGCAACTCGGGGTGAAATTGGAAGACGGCTAGACCAATTTGTTTGAATTTGGGAAGCTAAAATGCAAATCTGTATATAGTTTAACAACCATTGCTATATACAAGTAAGCCTAAATGAAGTAACAACTCGAACGAATAACATTCCAAATAGTAGAGGAAACCTGAGAATGATTGTGTATGCCAAAATGCTGAACTGGAGCATTGTCATCAAGTAGCTTCTCATTGTGGTATGAGAGGCAAAAATTCCTCCAAACGTGCTTCCTGATTGCAAACACATCGAATCAAATTGTAATTAATCGTAGAGAACTTTAACGAAAAGGTACTGTTTATTTTAACAAAAAATCATATATTTACATTCAAAAGTTAATCATGGTATTATTTATTTTTCCATTTATTTTGTCCTTATCGTTAAGACTCAAAATTTTCAAACATTTTTCATTAAAGCCCGAACTGAATAAAAACTACATTAAAATGTCACGAGGCCAAGCGACCCAGCTATATCAGCAAACCGCAGACGATGACAGGACAACCATATTCATCTTCAAACACAAACAGAACAATATCAATTTTGAACTTACCATGAAATGTGGCGGTGACCCATCTTGGATTGCTCCATCTCATTGATTTTCTTCCTGATTGCAAGCTTAAGGTCCTTCACCGTTGCAGAATTCATCACTGCCACATCTTCACAGTCAAGCAAAATCAAACGCATCAGTTTTTTCTTCAGTATACATTGACAATACACGAAAAAAAAAAGAAAATTTTGGCAGATGAAGTGTTCGAGAAAATGCCGAGGTGAATAGTACCGACCGAAGAAAGTGCCGTCGAGCTTGAGGACGGAGATGCGCATGGCGCTGCCCAATTCGAGGCTGATGAGAGTGTCGACGTCGGATAAGGTTGGTTTTTTGGGAACGTCGGAAAGTATAGGATCATTGACAAGGGCAGCAAGCGTCGACTGCAACCTGGCTTTCTTTATGTTGCTTTCCTTGTATCCTTCCACGCTTATCTCCGCCTTCCCCTTCGCATCCGACTCCATCGGCGATTGAGCTCACTGCTCTTGGTCTTAGGTCGGCCTCTCGCTGAACGAAACAAGCCACAGCTAATGGCTTTTCGCGGGATCTTTCTTTTTTGGTTTTCTTTAAGACCCCAACCAATTTTACTAGGTGTATTGGGTGTTTCAATTTATTCCACTTGCACCACAATATTTACCCTAATTAGGAATAAATTAAGTAGTAGATCTAGTGAAGTCCGACGGTCACACGTTCATTGCGCTAGTGATATTATTGTCCACGTATTAAAGTTGGAAAAACATTTGAAAATACGGAAAGTTGTCCATATCAAAAAGAAAAAAACCTCGCATAAACTTGTAGATATTAAAATTTCGGTGAAACAAATGTACCAATGCATTAAAATTACAACCTCAACTCATTTCACCTATATCATCCACTTACTTCACCTATAATCTCCACTCATTTTACCTACATCATCCACTTACTTCACCTATAATCTCCACTCATTTTACCTACATCATCCACTCATTTCACCTACATCATCCACTTACTTCATCTACAATCTCCACTTACTTCACCTACAATCTCCACTCACTTACTTCACCTACAACCTCCACTCATTTCACATACATCATCCACTTACTTCACCTACAATCATCCACTCATTTTACCTACAACCTCCACTCATTTCACCTACAACCTCCATTCATTTCACATACATCATCCATTTACTTCACTTACAATCTCCACTCATTTTACCTACATCATCCACTCATTTCACCTACAACCTCCACTCATTTCACCTACATCATCCACTTACTTCACAAAAAAAAAAAAATGGTGGTGATTCATTCTCAAAGCCTATAAATAGGCAATGGATCAAAACACCAATTCGCATAAACATTTATCTACTCCCAAATTAAAAGAGAATTCCCCAAATCCTTGAAGCTATGAAACTCTAAAGCTTTCAAGCCTTCAACCTCCCAAATTCCCAAGAATCCCGGAGGATCAAGAAAACTCTCTTCGTTCTTCGTCAAATCCTTGAAGAAATCCACACAACTGATCATCAAGATCAAGCCCTGAAGGTCCTTGAAGATCCGTTCATCTGTTTATCAAGATCAAGCCCAAAGGCCCTTAAAGATCCGTTCATCCATCAACCTTCAAGATCAAGCTCCGAATGCCCTTGAAAAAACTTTTAACCGTTCATCCAAGATCAAACCTCAAATGCCCTTGGATCAACAACACTATCCACAAATCTACAACTTATGGAGATCGAATCAGAGGACCAAATTACAAAGAGATTGTAACCCCAAAATCATTAACACCAAAATATTATTTTGTACACGTATTCTTGTTTCAGGAATTTGCCGTGTTCACAAATTTGGCACGCCTGGTGAGATCATCTCTACTTCCTATCTCTTTCTCCATTCAAGAAATCCAAAGCACACCTCCAAAATCAATGGCGTCAAATGAGGGACAAGCCGTTCACGCAACTATCGGCGTTACCTCCATTGAACAACAACTGGCTCAAATGAGTGAAGTAATTGCAAGGCTCACAAAGATTGCGGAGGAGAAAAACTTGCAAATCACTGCACTCATCAACCGTCTAGAGGTGCATCACGACTTGAAAGCAGAACCAAGCTCCCTTCCAACCAAGAGGACCGAAGAAGGTTTCGACCCAAACGCCTACAAGCTTATGTCAAAGGCTGGGTACGACTTCCCTTCCTTTTCAAATCTTGGAAAGAAGGTTGCAAACATCGTCAACGACAGAGAACGTAACCTCACCGAGTCTTAAAAGAAGTTGAAGGAGCATGGTTATGGAGTTGACAACAACAAAGCTAGACTTGGCTTCACACCAAATGCACCCATGAAGATTTCAAGCAAAGCGAAAAATGCTAGCGCTCAACATATCATCGTGAGCATTGAACAAGATCAAGAGAAGCCTAAACCCGCCCCTCGAACTTCAGTATTCGATAGCCTGAATTGTTCAAAACCCATAATTTCGACACTTGATAGCATTGGTGGTCAAGACCGAACTTCCGTCTTCAAGTTTGTGAACACCAATGCGATTAAGTGCCGAAATTATGGGTTTTGAACGATTCAGGCTAGCGAAGACTGAAGTTCGAGGGGCCGGTTTAGGCTCATCTTGATCTTGTTCAATGCTTACGCTAATCTTCACGGGTGCATTTGATGTGAAGCCAAGTCCAGCTTTGTTGTTGTCAACTCTGTAACCATGCTCCTTCAACTTCTTTTGAGTCTCGGTGAGGTTATGTTCTTTATTGCTGACGATGTTTGCAACCTTCTTTCCAAGATTTGAAGAGGAAGCAAAGTCGTACCCAGCCTTTAACATGAGCTTGTAGGTGTTTGGGTCGAAACCTTATTCGGTCCTCTTGGTTGGAAGGGAGCTTGGTTCTGCTTTCACGTCGTGATGCACCTCTAGACGGTTGATGAGTGCGGTGATTTGCAAGTTTTTCTCCTTCGCGGTCTTTGTGAGCCTTTCAATTGCTTCACTCATTTGAGCCAGCTGTTGTACAATAGAGGTAGAGCCGATGGTTGCGAGAACGGCCTGTCCCTCATTTGACGCCATTGATTTTGGAGGTGTGCTTTGGATTTCTTAAACAGAGAAAGAGTGAGAGGTAGAGATGATCCCACGGGGCGTGCCAAATTTGTGAACACATAAAATTCCTGAAGCAAGAACATGTGTACAAAATAATATTTTGGTGTTAATGATTTTAGGGTTACAATCTCTTTGTAATTTGGTCATCTGATTCGATCTCCATAAGGTGTAGATTTGTGGATTGTGTTGTTGATCCAAGGGCCTTTGAGGCTTGATCTTGGATGAACGGTTGGAAGTTTCTTCAAGGGCCTTCGGGGCTTGATCTTGAAGGTTGATAGATGAACGGATCTTCAAGGCCTTTGGGCTTGATCTTGATAAACGTATGAACGGATCTTCAAGAGCCTTCGGGGCTTGATCTTGATGATCAGTTGTGTGGATTTCTTCAAAGATTTGATGAAGAACAAAGAGAGCTTTCTTGATCCTCCAGGATTCTTGGGAATTTGAGAGGTTGGAGGCTTGAAAGCTTTAGAGTTTCATAACTTCAAGAATTTGGGAAATTCTCTTCTAATTTGGGAGTAGAGAAATGTATATGTGAATTGGTGTTTTGATCGCTTGATAGAGAAACCTATTTATAGGCTTTGAGAATGAATCGCCACCATCATTTTTTTTGTGAAGTAAGTGGATGATGTAGGTGAAATGAGTGTAGGTTGTAGGTGAAGTAAGTGGATGATGTAGGTGAAATAAGTGGATGTTGTAATTTTAATGCATTGGTACATTTATTTCACCAAAATTTCGATTTCTACAAAATTTAAAAGAGTTAACTACTCTCTCCATGCCAATTGGTATTCGGGTAGAATCTCAAATTATTTAATGAATCAGACTTGAGTAGTCCATGTATAAAGCCCAACATCTACACATGCTTTACGTCATCCAGTTAAACTCGTGCACCTGGATTGAATTTTCCTCTTCGTATATCAGAGTAATTTAGAAACATTCATTTGTTAAATAAAAAATGTAACAAGAAATCATCACAAATTTAGCAAACTCTTTACCAAAACAGTCTCCAAACTCAACAAAACCTAACAAGAAGGTTTCTGGTTGAAGAACATCAACAACTAATTTATTCAAGTCTGCAATTAAGTGAGCTAACTGCAGGGCTGATCAACTTTAAGTAGGCTTTTGCATCTCAACCACCTTCTGCCACGACTCCCGGCTCGATATCTCAGACCACCACCTTCCCACATTCTCTCTCGAAGTAATCAGCTCTCCCCTGTCCGTGGCATTCACCAGGTACTGCGTGTTGGGCAAGTGCGACAGATCAGCCAGCGAGAATTCATCCCCCGCCAAGAACCGGCTCCCCCCCAGCCTCTTTTCGTACACATCCAGCACCTTGGCAAGCTTCTCTTCGTTCTGCCTTATCACTCCCTCGTCTTGCTTCAGCTTCATTCTCGGCGCAAATGCTAGCTGAAACACCAGCGTTGAGCTCGGAGGGCTGAAGCTCTGCCCTTCGGCCTCCAGCCACTGATCTATTGAGGCTTTCGCCAATGGATTCATTCCGTACAAACCCTTGTTTCCCTTATCTGCATACTTGTTACATATGTACCGGCATATGGCTCTGGATTCTGAGTGAAAAAATCATAAATAAATAAACCAATTAAATTATCCATAATTAGGAATTCGCTGCCGAATTAATGAAATAAAAACAAAGACATTAGGATATATACCGAAGAGGGAGATGTCTTCGTCTTCAAAAGCTGGTACTTGTCCGAATGGCTTAAAGGAACACCATATCATGAATGTGAGTCTGTGAGTGAGAGAATGTATACATATATATATACACACGCTATATTATATAGGAAACGATACCTGAATCTTGAGGTAGTCGGGCTTCTTGTGCTCGCCTTTGGCCATGTTGACGGAAATGAGCTGATAGTCCACCCCTTTCTCATGGAGACAGGCCAACACTCTTGACACCGCCGTCGATAACGGTGGTCCGTACACCTTCACCGGAGTCGCCATTCGATTTGGACTTGGATTTTGAGATTGGATGGGTTTCCAATTGTCTTCTTGTACTGTTTTACACCATACAAAAGGAGGACGAGATGCTCTGCCACTTTATCCCTTACTTAAAAATGGTGGGTTCGTTGGTCCCACCACCTCACCTAACTGTAAAAGATGCCACTAAAACTTACAAGAGAAATGTTACTCTTCATTTACTCTCTGTCGTCTAACAGTTTAACGTAAATTATCATGTCAACGTTATAAATTACTGTGCCGAAAATATAACATGACAGAGTCCACAGAGAGTCCCACTTTTTAGAGAGTTTTCATAGCATTTCTCAACTTATAAACGCAAAGCTCACTGGTTTTTTTTAAATATTTTAAAGGCCCAAATTTGTTTTGAGCTTAAAGAACGTAGGGAAATGAGAATAGATGAATCGGGTTAATATAACTGGTCTCGGCCCAGTAACCCAAATCACCCCTAGCATTAACAAGAGTTTTGCTCTCCTAAGCATCAAAAGACAATAAAGAACGGTTGAAATTAAACTAAATAACGCTCGCTCAAGAAAAATGATGAGCAGGAGAGAATCATGCACATTAACAATTTGGAC